GATTTTGCGGCTGCGGTGGCGTGATCTAGTTTACCCAATTGAAGATGGTATTTCATGCGACCAATCACAACTGGTGGAAGAAATTAGGGCTCCCGGTTGTAAATACGTGATTACTGTAAATTTCGGAGCCCCTTAATCGGTACTCCCCTTGATTTGTACCGGGTATGTTGCAAGGTCACTCAACATGGATTTTGTAAGAGACCCGGGTACAAATCAAAAACTAAGTAGATCCTTTTTTTTTTTTTTTTTGCTAATACAAAGCTCTTTTTTTATTTTATCTTGCAAGTATTGTACGTCATTTTTGCAATCGGCATAAAATTAACGATTTATTTTTGTAGAGAAAAAATAATTTTTTTAAACTTTTTAATTTTAAAGATTACCGGTATATAATAAATTAATGAAAAATTTATAAGCATTACAAATTTATGAAAATTTGGTTCCAAATTCAAGTCATTTAGTCATGGTGAGTTTATTTAAAATTTCAATGAATTTACAATTGCATCGTTACAAGGTTATTCAACCTATTGATTCACAAATTTTTCTACTTCATTTTGAGCATAGTAGAATTCAAATTCCATCTCTTGGGACAAGTAATGCTGGGTCATAAGATTTTGTTGGGGCGGGGGAATAGAAGGTGTTGTTGGGATGAAAGGTGTTGTTGGGACGAAAGATGTTGGGATGAAAGGTGTTGGGACAGAAGGTGTTGAGATAGAAGGTGTTGTTGGGACGGAAAGTGTTGTTGGGACGGTTGAGATAAAAAGGATTGCTGAAACAAACCAAGACCTCTTGCCTCAACAATACTTTTTAACCGAACAAGACCCTTTACCTCACTATTACTAAAAACTAATTCGTTGCCTTCAACTTTGTTGTCTTCAACTTCATAGTTTTCAACTTGATCATAATTAAAAATTAAATTTTCTTCTGATCTATCACTTAAAACTGAGATACCACAACATTTAAAAGAACGTTTGATTAGTTGGGGATCAATAGCATCCCATGAACGTTGAATCTATTCTGCAATAACATCATATGGTGGATGTTTGATTCGACTAGCTGGTGTTAATTCCTTTATTTTGTGACATCTATTCATTATACATAAATCTGATCTATTAATAATATATAGTTGGTGATTCAGGAGGTTTTTTTTAAAAAATTAAAAAAAAAAATTCGTATAAAACAAAAAAATTAATTTTTAATACTTTTGCTTTAAATGATTTGTTAATTGATACATCGAGTGGTTGCAGTTTCAATGTTAGCTTTCCAGGAATAACCATGATATTAGTATTTTTCAAAAAGACTATTTTTAACAGGAGAAACCAAGTGACTCTTGAACGAATCTATTACTAATAATGATTGTAGGTTTGTAGCACATGGTGTTTAATTATTCCAAATTGTATCTGTCCAGTACATCATTTTCATTTCATTCATCTATCCCTTTTCATTTGCTCTAACTATTACACCAGGAGGAAATCGAAGCCTTGAAACATTTTTTAATTTAAAGATAATCATTGGTGATAACTTATTACCATCTGCTATACATGCAAGTACAACAGTAAACCAAGATTTTTCATAACCACAAGTTCTAATGCTAATGGTTCTACTTTCTGTATCATTAATGGTTACATTATTTGGCATATCGAAAGCAAGAGAGGTTTTGTCCATATTACCCATTAATTGTAACAGATAATTATGCTAAAGACGGCGGTATTGAACAAAGTTTAAAAATTCTTGTCGTTGTGCCTTCAAATCTGCAGATAGGTGTTGTGCAACAGTTGTTTGACGACAATTACTAAAATTATAACGTTGTAAAAAACCCGAAAGCCACTTACTACTCTATTTAAACTAACCAATATTGGGATATTGAAAAATATATTGCTGAGATTTTGCTAAAGTTCTTGCTTTCATTTGCACTATGCTATGATTAACTAGTTTTAATTCATTACATTGAGCTCGAACCTAGTTAGCAAGTTCAATCTCAAGGTCAGGATAATTAGGCTTTGCTCCACTAGTAAGATGCTTTACATGTGGTTAAGCTATCATTAGTTCTTCTCATTTGTTTCACCAATCTCTAATTTGCTTTGGTTTAATTTTAAACAGAGCAGCCATTCTATACAGAGTAGCACTTAAAGCTCTTTCTAGGTAGGTAAGTATAAAAAGCTTTTCTCAAACAGTCCATTGGTGGTTTTTATGTTGGCAAAATCTTGTTGCTAAAATATTTTCTAGTATTGTCTAAAAGTCTTCGTTGTTAAAGTGTCTTAGTAAAAAAGTTTTTTTTTTTTTTTAAAAAAAAAAAAGCATGTTTATTTTTAATACTTAAATACATAATGCAATTTGTTTTAAAAAAACAAAAAAATGCAAAATCGATTGTGTCAAAAAAACCCGATTTTTTATTAAAAAAAAGTGAAATCCGCTTCAAAAAAAAAAAAAAAAAGTGAAACCACTAAAAAAAAATCATCTTTTCGGATACCATTTTACCCTTTTAAAATGTCTAATGCGTTATATTTCATAAATTTCTGTACTATGCTAAATTTAAACCATATTAAAGTACTTTTAAACTTCAACAAAGCAAAAAAGATAAAAAAACCCCGAGTACTGTAAAACGCTCTTTATAGTACCCCCTGTGTAAAGTACCCCCTGACTTTTTTGAAGATGATTTTTGTATTGTACCCCATTATTAAAAAGTATTAAAAAAAAAAAAAAATTATATTAGAGATCGCTATGTATTGTACCCCCTAGATCACGTATAGAATGTAAAATACCCCGGGTACTATAAAGAGCGTTTTACGGTATTTTACAAGGAGTCATATTCATTTAATATACCCCCCTTATACAAGACCCCATGTAATATATCCTGTTTCGCCCAATATACCCAGGGTATAAATTAAGGTTTGTTGTCATGTGGAATGTAAAATACTCGGGTACCTTGCTCCGAAATTTATAGTAGTTTTGTAAATACATAATTAGTTAACTAATTAAATAACTAATAAATAACTAATTTTTTTTTTTTTTTTAGTTTTCTATATAAAAAAATTTTTTATACGTATAAATTTTTTTCTTTGAATACATCTAACTATAACCGGTGGTGATTATTACCAGAGTGCCTATATCTCAAAAACGTACTAAGTAAATGGGATCAGGTTCTCTAAATAAAAATGTTCAGGACCCCCAAAAACCTCATGAAAACTGAGATTGGGCCCTATCAGGCCCTTATAGTAGCTATATATATATTATAAAAAAAAACAATAATTCTCTAATTTCTAACCCTAACCCTAAATATATCTAGAGGTGGTGACGATCACTACCGGTTATTTTGATTTTAATTCTTTTTTTTTTATATAATTTTATTTTTTGAGTTTAAGTTTTTGTACTATAATGCACCCTAATTTTAACCAATAAAAATAGTGATTTTTTGTATTAGTAAAAAGTTTAAAAATTATAAATTTAATATAACTAAAAGTGTAATTTTACTTGCTTAACAAGTTTAATTAAAAAGCAAAAGATAGTTATTTAAGTAAAAAAATGAATTAGTATTAGATTAAGTTAAAAAAAACTATAAATTATTATATAACTTTTTTTTTACTAAGATAATCTGTCTTTGTTTTCTAAGTAACCCTATTTTTTTGCAATTTTATATTATATAAATACTTAATTAAGTTTTAAAAAAAAAATTTCAAGGAGGTGCATTATAGTGCAGATGCACTAAAAAAGTTTTCCTTTATTTTTTTATATAGAAATTTTTAATTTTTTTATATAAATTTTTGTAAAAAATGAAATATCAAATAAAAATTTTTTTGGTGAAGTTTTTTTTATAAAGTATCAATTTGATTAAATAGACTTATTTGAGATTCTAGCTTAGAATCCAGTTCTGGATCTATCAACTAACAGTTTTTTGTATCAGATTTGGAACTATCATTTTAGATTCTAGAACCGGACCAGACCGAATTCACAATTTAACATCCCTAAATACCAATTAGTGATGCCACCGAAATTGATTTTCAAAAAAGGCCTATTTCATTTCTATTAAAGCAAATTAAAATTTTTTATAAGAAAAAGCAAATAAAATTTATATATTTATACTCCTTATAATTTCGTTTATTCAAA